GTTGGAAATGCCAGTCTTCAAAGTAGTATTATCATCATGAGATATGGTCGCATTTATCGAGGAGATAAGGTATGTTTTTTTTTCGTCCTGTTTATGTAAGAAAATATGTTTGAGAATCATCGAGAGATTTATAGGTGATGCATGCTCAATATTTTGGAGCTATCGGTGCAATATTATATAATGATCCAGCTGATTATGCTCCATTTGGAACAACATCTGATCAAGTTTATGATCAAAAGTGGTTTATGCCTCCAAGTGGTACACAACGAGGAACATCCTATAATTCGAAAGGTGATCCTTTGACACCTATATATCCATCAACAGGTTCCATCATATTTCAACAATGAATAGATCAGTAAATAAAGTATGCTTAAATTCTATAGATTATATGTACAGAGTGAGAGAGGATAGTGTCACCTTTCTACCTAAAATTCCTGCTCAACCAATTGGGTATGGTGAAGCTCAGATTATTCTTCAGTAAGAAATCTTTGAATTTTATTGTTACTTGATGGGAGAAAATGTTACATTTAGATATATGCAAGGTAATGAAGTACCAGTCGAATGGCGTGGAACTTTATCAAACGTAATATATCGTTATGGTGGAGAACTTCGTGAAGCATCGTAAGATAAGCCAATTTTGAAGATCTATAAAAACAAACTGTTTGTTTCGTGTAGTACGATTGAAGTAAAAATATACAATCGACTTGAAAGAAAAGACACATATAATGTGATTGGAATAATGAAAGGTGAAATTGAACCAGGTAAGTCGAAGACTATTCTGTTTCGATACAAAACTGTTTTTCTTGTTAGATCGATATATTGCTCTTGGAAATCATCGGTAAGATTTGAAGCTTTCGTTGTTTTTTGTTTCTTTTCGACTTGTATCATTGAATGCTTCTTTCTGAAATGTTAAAAACCTCTTCTTTTTATCTTTCAGTGATTCTTGGGCATTGGGTAGTGTAGATCCAACAAGTGGAACAGCTACTCTTCTTGAAATAACAAGAGTACTTGGTCAAATGTATAAAAATGGTAGTTTTTGATGCGTTTGTGCACATGATAGTAAAACTGAATGTATAATATATTTGATAGGATTTCGACCACGACGAAGTTTAATGTTTTGTTCATGGGGTGCTGAAGAATATGGACTGGTTGGATCAGTAGAATATGTTCAGGTATGGTAGTTAGTTAGGTTTTAGAAGCATTAACAGTATTTGAGAGCTATAGTTTGATATTTGTTTTAAAGGAATATGTTAAAGTACTTGGTGCTCGAATGGTGTCTTACTTGAATGTAGATGTTGCAGTTGAAGGTAAAGTATGTGTTGAAAATGGAAATGGTTATTTTACTTTTGTTGGAAACAGGCAACCATACAGTTAGTATTTATACTTCACCAATGTTGTTTGATGTTATTATCGAAGCAGCTAAAATGGTAATAAGCATGATAATATTATATATTATCTTTCTGCATTTTGAGTTGCAGGTTCCAAGTGCTTATGATCCTGTTGGACAAACTGTCTATGATAAATGGATGAAGGTTAATCGAAATAATAGAACTAATGAACCAAAGTACAGTAACTAAATTCTTATTCGAACTATCATGAGTTTTTTCTCCATAGTATGATATATGGTCTTGGGTCAGCCAGTGACTACTATGCCTTTGATCAGTTAGTTGGTTCATCAAATGTGGATATAACATATAGTTACAATGTTGTTGATCATGGAAATATAAGTTCATATCCACTTTATCATACATCCTATGAAGTGTTTTCTATGATGAAAAAGTTTATGGATCCTCATTTTACAGTTAGTTTTTTCTTCAGCAGATTTTTTTTTCCCATCTTTAACAATATCTCAATTAGGCTCACAGAACCATAGGACAATTTTGGGGTGTTTTAGCATTACTTTTATCAGAAACATCTGTTTTACCATTTAATGTTACAAGATATACAACGGCACTCATGCAAGCAATGAATAGTCTTAAACCAAAAGATCCTGCTGTTCTTGGTATAAGAATAATTTTCGTTGTATTCTTACAAGAAAATTAAAATATAATCATTTAAGATCCACTTCGAAATGCTATCAATGATTTTGGTACGGCTACTCAAGATTTCGTTGCACGATTGAAATCATTAGATTTTGAAAAGTAAAATTATCAGTAATGATATACAAAAAAAAAGATTGAAGTGATCTTTTTTTTTATAGTCCATACGAAATTCGAGCATACAATGATCAGTTGTTACAACTTGAACGTGCCTTTCTAAATCCATTAGGACAAGGTGGTGATTATACTGATCTAAAGTATGAATCGATTTTTTTTGTTTAAATTATTTATTTTGTTTTTGACTTTATTTCAAGACATGTTGTCTATGCACCAGCGAAAATTAAT